CATTATATTTTCTCAGGATTCTGGTGCCCAGCACAATGCCTGACACACAGTAAGTGTTCAGTTAAATTGGCATTAAGTGAACGAGTAAATGAGAATTCTCATGTTAATGTGGGTTGGGTCAGTAAGGGCTGAGAAGCCAAGCTAACTAGAGTTAGGGTGTTATCCTAAGGGCAATAGGGATCCAATAAAAGTTTTACATAAGGGCATGACTTGGTCGGCTTTGTGTCCCAGGAATCCCTTTTTGGCTTTGGTCTGGAGAATGGCTGGAGACAGAGTCCAGGTGGCAGAGACATTGTCCTTACCTCGGGGCATTGTTATGATTTTATTACTTCTTTATGTGACTCTCCCCTAAGTAAGCCGTGAGCCCTGGAGGGCCAGGGCCGGGGCTGGGCCCTGTTCACCTCTGCATCCCCATGCCCAGTACACTGGCCAGCACGGCATGTGGTAACTGCTCAGTGGGTGTTTAATGGCTGAAATTCTGATTGGAAGCTGCATATGCAACTTTAAGGGTAGGTGATGTTGTTTAATGCATGCAATGTCATAGGCAACTTTCAAAACATGAGGAACATGAAAGAAAAAGTCATTTAAGTTTGGGAAGCAGTGGTCAGAGGTCTGGGAGGCAGGGTGGGGGAGGAGGAGGGGCTCCTCTGAGCTGTGACAGTTGTTGGACCTATGAGGCCTTCTAGGTTTGGCATCTGCCTGAGATAGGAGCCCGTGGAGAGCAGCGGGTTTGGAGGACTAGGTGAAAAGTTGGGTGCCTGTGGGACATCCAGCTCCAGATTGGGGTGTCTCCAGCAATAGAAGATTCTGGAAGCCTTAGGGGTGAATGTATGGCAGGATATGGGGAGGAGGGCTGGGATGCCCTGGAGAGAAGAACTTTTAAGTAGGGGGCCGAGGACTGAGGGAGTCAGGGGGGATGGAGAAGCACCAGGAGCTCCTACCTCAGGACTGTGAGCCTGTGACTTCTCTGTTCCCTCCAGCCTCGTCCTTACGATCGCATTGCAACAGCCCCGGACAGCCACCAGCACTGCAGAGCCTTCGGTGAAACCCAGCTCCATGGGGCTCAACTTCTGTGTGCTCTGGGCTCACCTCCCTTTTTTTTTTTTTTTTTTTTTTTTCGG